CATCTGGTAATTTGCTTATGCTGTATGTTTTTAGCATTAGCTTGTACTGTAAATAGCACAATGAGCTCTCAGTGAGCTAGTACTGACTGAGTAAAGCGTCATGATGTAAACACCGAGTGTAACCGGTCACCGGGAGCACCGTGAGAGGAAGTGGGAGGCTGTACTTCACTTTCTAAGTATTTTGGATAACACTCAGCAACCCCTGCGCTCCCAGGTCCCCTCCTGAAACACAATACCACCTAATGAATATTCACCACGTCTTAAATTATGGTTTTATGGAGGTCGTAGAGCCATAAAAGATATGTAAAGAGAGGTAGAGAGGAAGAGGGAGACAGAGAGAGGAGGGGGGTTGTTAAAAAAAAGTGACATAGAAAAAGAAGAAGCAGGCATGCATAGCTAAGACACCGGCAGTGGCCGCTGCGCAACCGGGCCCACCGTATAAAGAGCGGTATTATTGGGTTTAACTACACTTCTATATCTGTCACACACACACACACACACACACACACACACACACACACACACACACACACACACACACACACACACACACACACACACACACACACACACGTCCTCGTCACCTATCTTGTCAGTTAAACATGTTCACCCTATCCAATATTCTCATTCTTTGTAACTTTTATTTACATGAATTTCAGAATTTGAACGTGAATCCTTTCAGAAACGTTTCTTTGCTTCATAAAAGCCCAAGTTAACGTAAAATGCAACACAATTATTTAGTAACCTAGCATGGTTTCCTCACTATTTACCACTGTAATATACTGGCTGCAACTTCAATACATGTATGTATACTCTCTTTGTTACAATGACGCTACTTATTTTTTTCTGCCTTTGATGTGTATTTGTTTTATTTTTATGAACCGCTGATTTTATAAAGTGCTTGCCTTTTTATAGCTCTCTTATAGTCTTTATCTGCACTGTCCCTTTGCGGTAACAATGTCCATGTCCTCACTGTGAGACAGATATGGAGACCTGGTGCATAAAAAGCTCCAACCCTTTGATGCATTTACTTTTTTGTTTCAATTTTAATGTATTTTTTATTTATTTTTTCACCTGATTAGTTCATTGTGAAATATCTGAAGGGAATCACTCTGCCCCAAACTCCCCTCCCTTACGTCTCTATTTCTCCAACTCACCCGTGAGGCCTTGCTAACATCTAGGCCTTACATGTCATTACTCAAACCCCCTCAATTCCTCCTCACCTGAGTTGATCATCCAGGAGTAAATCTGCATCTCCCCCTTTTTTTAAATGCTGCTACTCTGCCTCCTGCAGGCCGGCCAAGGCAGCCTCTGGAGACGTGGAGTGATCCATAGCACCGAGTGCGCACGGAGAGCACACGGCAGCAGCAGAAGAGGAAGTCAAACAAATGTGAAAGTTGCAGAATCTGTGAAGAGAGGAATATTTGGAAAACAGCGCATTGACGAGGTCCAGCGAACTCATAATTTGGCGCATTTGATTTGTAGCCCAGGGGCGCTTTAATGTCGTCCTTTACGAGGCACCGTGAATTATCGGCGAGACATTACCGTCTAGATTTACACAAAAAATCACCCCACCCCTCTACTCTCTTCCCCTCCCTCTGTCTCGCGGACCACGTGACCTTGGGTCCATGTGATGTCAAGATGCCTAACGGCCGACGGTGTCTCCCCCTGGATGCAATATTATTAACACACTGGAACAAACCCACAACATACAATCTATTAAACAATCAATACGCAGCAGCTCGGAACGTGTCCAGTAATCACTGCGCGCGTGTAGAGCTGGAAAACAAAACGTTTGATGCTGACAAACATCCAGCCCGTATACTGAAAACTTTACTGCTGGGTTGAAAGTAGGTTAAGTCGTGTGCAAAAAGCGGAGAACACCATTAGAGGTGGTATTGATTGGACTGGGAATGGAATGGCTCCAGGCACAGGCGTAAAACTGGCAAAGAGACTTAGAGAGGAGATATTTTACTTTGCAGACCACACATGCAGAAGAAAGGGCCCCACTCAGCAGAACAAAAAATTCTGTTGTGTGCTGCCACCACAGTGTGACGCCTCTGCTCACTGCATTCACAGGAGTTTCTGCAAAACTGCCCACGACAGTGGCGGCGCCACAGATTTTCTTTTTTGGGGTGCTGTGGGGTAACTTGACGTTTCATGGTGGAATTTGAACCCACACGCACATACACAGTGTACCCGCGACTGTTACAATGAAGGCTCAATAAAGTACTAGTAAAGTAAAGTACTTTTTTTTTTATAAGTGGGGAGTGGACCTAACATCCTCTAGGGGGGTCCGGGGACATGCTCCCCCGGGAAAAAATTTTTTTTTAATATTGAAATTAAGTGCATCAATCTGGTGCACTTTGAGAGCAACATTAAGAGATCTATGGATACATCTCTCAACACCCATATAAAACAGAACTGTAAACAGATTTTCTTTTTCTTTATGGATATTTTACAAATCACCCTTTTAAACTTTATTCTTTTTTTACTGTTATATAGTATTTCATACCTGCTTTTTTTTTTTTATACCTATGATCATATAAACGTGTGCCTCAGAAATACACATACATTTATTGGGGGTACTTAGGGGGTGCTATGGCTATAAAGCGAAATATGAACGTTAGTTTTTACTGAAATTATCAAATAAAGTCAACATTTCACTGAGCTGTGTGGGGTTTGTTCAACTTTTAAAATATGTTTGAAAGGTGATATACACAGTGATAGATGTTAAGGACTAACGTTTATAATAAATACATTTGTATTGATTTTAAGATATTTTCATAGTTCATACAATCTTTGGGATCATTTATATTAATGTGGACCGGAGGGAGAGGGTGGCGAGCATAAGTTTGAACTTTGGTCATATGTTTCTCTGTTGTCCACGTTGATAAAGCATAAAACAACAGCATCAGAGCACGGTGCAGAGTCTCTAGATGAGTTTACAGTAGTCCCTCGTTCTTATTAAACATCCATGTTGTAGTCCGCTAGAGAAAAAGTAGTTTCCATAGCTTCTGACGTCCTCTGGCGCATCATAAACACGTCGGATAGTGAAAGTGCAGTCGGATTCTCTAAAGTACCGCAGTCTCTTCTCCTAAATCCTTTTGAATTCTCCTATCCACTATCCCTTAACCCCGTGACGTTTCACACAGAGGTCAAGGGATAGACGATAGGGATAGACGTTAGGAGCTGATTTTTGGACTATTCGACCGCAACCCTGATGCAGCTGCTCAGGTCCTTGAGTAAAATCCGTACATGTTCCCGTGACTTTTGGCCTTTCCCACACGCAGCAGTAAAATCGCTAGGAAATAATCCCTGAGAGTAGTCCAATGACGTTAAGCACTCGTGCGTAAATGTTACGCTTGCGTAAAAATCCAGTGGTTTTCAGGGAAACATTTGGTGAAATGGAATGGGTGTTTGTTTCAGTGAAAGACAGTGTTATCCTCACGCTACCATAAAGTAAATTATCATTTCTTTTTTGTATGGCAAGTTGTGTTGGAACAAAGGACATATTATTCCGTGCGTAAAATCACATGTCCATTGGACTATATTCATAGAAGTGATTTTTTTTAATAGTTTTTTTTGGGCGTTCTCTATATCATATATAGTTAATAATTGAGAAACTTCCAGTTTAATTAATGTCATTTGAAATGTTGGCATTTGATTTAATGCAAATATGCCAGCATTTGCTAGTGTGCTCCCATGGTGGTCCATTGGCGTCCGGCATAAAAATGTTTAGCCTAGTAACACAGTCTCATTGTCAGACATTGGAGGCATGCCTATATCTTCACAGCGTTTGTTGGACAGCGAGGAACATATATTGAGTACTTTCTGTTCTATTGCTGACTAATGTGGCATTTTATAAAGATAGTAGATTGTTGTCATTACACTTAACCTGGCCATTGGAATGAAAGGGGGATTGTTTACTCATCAAAAGGAGTGCTACCCAGCCAATGAAAACAGTTGCAGGCTATAATAACCATGTGATGTCATCAGGGTTATTTGCAGCTCAAAATCCAAGTGTCTTTGAATTTGAAGACCAAACGTCTCTAATCTTCGACTTAACTGTATTTAATTATTCCTTTTAAATCTGTAGTGAATCGGTAGTGAATCCCTTAAATTTGTTTAAGTGGAACAATTACATAGTTGCACTCTGTCATGAACTTCTAACTGTCTGTTAAAATGTCAAAATAACAAGAACTATAGTTGTATAGGCCTGCAACATCAATGTCAAATAAAACCGCATTGAATTATTGTACATTCTTATCTTAATGTTTTGACGGAGACAGATTGTGTGTACACAGAGGCGGAGACTGGTCCCATGCAAACTGCACACACTGTTGTACAGGCTTAAACAAAACGTCTGTTTCCCAAATAATGCCTGGAAACCTGATCAGAATATTTGGCGCTTTGGGGATTCCCCTAACGTCTGGGGTACAAACTGAAGTCCAATGCATGAAGATGGATATGCATGCGTAAATACGCAGAGTTTTTGATCCTTCCAGATGGAAACAATCCTCAAGTCGTCATCGTGATGATGATGGAAGGCAGTGTAATAGTGAATATAGAGGCCTGTAATAATGTAAGTGGAGGTGGAGGACCGGGCCATAAATAAAGTGGTGTTTGGTTAGGATGTAGGATGTGTACAGTGTGTGGACGGGTGTGGTGTATGGGGGGAAGGAGGGGGGGACGTCTGTTATTTTAAGAGGAGATTTCCGAGTCGAGGCTTGAATGTGTGGCCTTGTGAACTGAATAGTTTTATTAGTCTGGGTGCTGACAGAGGGGAAAGGAGAATGGTGATGGAAAAGGTGTGGAAGAATGCAGATTAAAGTAAAAAGGAAATCAATCCTTTCTGATTATGAGTTGATATTGCTAAGAACACTGATGTCTCCATCTTTATTGATACTTGTAAGAAATTGAAATAATACCGTGAAATTAATCTCGGCTCATACCAGAACCTTGCACCATATTAAACGCATAACACAATTGTATTCGATTTTTCCTCGTTTTTATTTTTATGAATGTTCTCTTTTCTTTTTATTCTGCACTGTGCGCATGCTTTTTACCCAAAAAGAGAAAAAGAAGACAACATAAAACAAACACCATCGATCAAAAAACGAACTAAAACGACAATTAGAGTTTGTAAAAAAGAGACCTACTAAAACGGCATAAATAGGCAGTTTCCTGTTGTTGGAAATGTCATTAATTGCTATGTCATCATTATCATCATCAGCATCAATCAATCATTGCCATAACAACAACAACAACAACAACAACAACATACAAGTGAGAAGAAGTACAGTAAAAAGTGCACCATTATCATTTTTTAACTTAAAAACTATACAGCTGCCAAAGATAAAATTGTTAATGATAAACTTCTAACAATATAGAAATGTTTCCACGATAATTGTTCCACAAAGAAAGGAGGCTATTTTTTTGTTTTGTTTAAACACTAGAGTAGACTATGCTTGTTGGACGCCCTCATTAATAGAGTGGTGCAGCAATGAGGCATTTGTGTAAATCGACCGGAAGTTAGCATCACAAGGGCTCCCTCGACACAAATCAATGGGCATTTTGCATTGGATTTCGCAATATTGACAAAAAAAGATCTGTGACAAACACACATTTATGATCCTTACACGATTTGTTCAGCAGGATAATCTCCACATATTAACACCACTTTATGATTTTTGAACCGTAAATGCAAAACTGTTTTAGAACAAAACGTGAACATCTCTTACCTCGCTACCACAGATCTTATTTCAGGCATCTAACCAAAAACACCATTGACCTCAAGATGAGGGAACCGGATCTGTTAGAATGTTTACTAATTTCTGGGTTTCAGGACTGATTCCTGCACCACTCTCTTCTATTTTTTTAGTTCACTTTCTTGCTTCTTTTTTTTCAGAGGCGGTTGGCCCCTCCTGTCCATCCTCAGCCGCCATTTTGGAGACCCAAGTTCCTTTCCATCAATTGAATTGTGGAGACAGTGGAGCATCCAATGGCCACAATTAAGACTAAAAATCCCCTCCTGTACACCCCCCAACACTCTCCTCCCTACATTTGCGTTTTCTCGCAGCAATCCTCACTCACAGCCTGTGACCCCGCTGTTCCCACCACCACAGCCGGACCTCCTCCTTCTTCACCACCTCCACCGTCGCCACTTCCGCTTCCGTCCCGCAGCTCTTTCTCCCTCCTCTCCCTCTCCACCGCCTCCTGTTCGCTCTTGCTGCTGGGGAACTTGTCTTTGTTGTTCTCCTTCTTCCACTTCATCCTCCGGTTCTGGAACCAAATCTTCACCTGCCGCTCTGTCAGGGCCAGAGCGTGCGACACCTCGATGCGGCGCTTCCGGGTCAGATACGGGTTGAACAAGAACTCCTTCTCCAGCTCCAGGGTCTGGTAGCGGCTGTACGTCTGCCGGCCCCGCCTCCTGCCCGCTGCTGTTCGGAGAGAGTTGTGGGACATTATGAGAGGCCAGCATTTTACATCACACATCTTATCACCGCCATTTGCCCATTAACATGAAATCAATTAAAGCTTAATGCAAAACAATTATAAGAAAATGAAAACCAAAAAATAATCTTGTAGGCTATGTCCTTTGTTGTGTTAGTAAATGTTTATATTACTTGTGTATTCTAAGTTATTCTGTTTTATTGTGTTATTTATCGATACTCTATGTAACTTTATTTTGTTAAAATGTAAATATATAGTCACTGTTAATGATAGTTTCTAATTTGATACATTTTATTTTATTTGTAACTGTGCAATGCCTTGAAAACCAGCAAGCAATGAATCTAATCTATTCAAATGTAGTGGCTTTTGATTAGAAATTATTAAATATTGCTTTAAGGTGAGGAAAAACATATACGATCAACATCAGTAATATTATCTTTTGATAACCTTTACATTTATAAAGAGGGTAGGTAAGTTGGGCAATGTCAATGTGTTAGATTGTATTGTTTTTTTAAATAACCAACCAAAAGTCCAAACCCATACTCAGTTTACATATAAAAAGATGCAAACAGGAAACCCTAACATTTACAAAAATGCTAAAGTTTTATTTAATGATAAACATTAATTAATTAACAAGGGAATTGCCCGTTGTGAATTGTCTGAGAGATGTCCTGTGAATTATGGCAACATTTTAAAGATTTCTAAAATCAGAAAAAATAGGTTTTGGCTGACCATGGAGGTGCGGTTAGATTTAAATTCGTTGAATATTATTATTTTATTGATGTTAAGAGGAAGTACTTTTGTTATGACCCACATTCACATTGAGTCCATGGTCAACAGTGCTCTAATAAATGGCCAGAACACTTTAAGATTTATTATTTTGAGTTATGTAATAATGTTAGAAAGAGTCCCCAGTGTAAGTCCACTACAGAAATGTGATCCTCATGTGACTTTAATGTTCTATCCAGGCAGGCTCTCTCTCTCTCTCTCTCTCTCTCTCTCTCTCTCTCTCTCTCTCTCTCTCTCTCTCTCTCTCACACACACACACACACACACACACACACACACACACACACACACACACACACACACACACACACACACACACACACACACACACACAAACACACACACTTTTCTGGTAACTATAGGCTTTAAACATGATTCTTAGAACAGAAACACACAATCTCAATCCATCAGAAACTACACAACAAGCTATACATGACCAACACTTATTAACATAAAAACTGAAAGCCCTTATATAACACAGACAAAAAACTACCCCTAAACAAACTTTTATTCAGAAATAATGCTAATTCATAGTGGCGTAATTTCAAAACCAAGAGGTAATCATTTACTTCTTGCCAATGTGTAAGTAGGCAGAGAAAGCAGTACGAAGACGCACCAACAAAAAAGAAAAAACCTAACATATTTAGTTTTCTGCACACACAAACATATGAGGACAAATGTTTGTCAATAACCTGTGAAATGTGACGAGCCCTCTTTTAAAACAAATGTATATTTCCTATTTGCTCATCATCACATGAGTATTATTCTTAAAATAGGAAAAGTATTATCCTTTAATATTTCGGCTTCCTGTTCCCGCTCAAAATATAAACTTTTCATTTCACCACATTTATTATATATTATAAATGTTATCTTTAAATGCACTCTTTGCATCTATAAATTGCAACTTCAATTCTGGGTGAACTTGAATAGGGGAATATTCACTGCTATTATGAAAAACTCCTCATCTAGACTGATCACATTCTGTAAAGGCCGCAGGTAGTGTGAAAAATAAAATACCCTATGCGCCTAAGTTCACCCTGCAGGATGCCCTCCACTTGCTGTGCCTCTCATGTTCTCACTGGACTTCCAAGTGTCCGTCAATGGGCTCAGAGCTGCTGTTTACGGTCAAACAGCCACAGGAACAGACAGGGGAGTCTTTATGGAAATGCATGGACTAGTAAGTGATGTAAATGTCTTGTATGTGTTATCTGTCACAGGCTGGCTCCGTGATTTCGCGCTGCAGCGAGTGAAGGGAAGTGGGCGCCACATACAATTCTGTCAGCAGCTATGAATTAAGGGACATGTGAAACACTTTCCTCGATGAAATGACAACATGAAGCTTAGATCCGGAGGTGCTTTGACTGGAGCAAGATACATGAGGAATTTAACCCCAAACCCTGTCTGCCTCAGTGCACGCACACACTATAGGACCAAATCATACACTGAACACAACTAAAAGGTTGACTTGAATTACATGTCAGCAGATTTCACATAACTGTATTAGGTTACTTGAAAGCAATAATATTAACTTGAAATAAAAAACATTATGTTTAACAATATTGCTTTCAACTAACCTAATATTATGTGAAATGTGCTGACAAATGTCATTAAAGTCAACGTTAGTGTTTTCAGTCATTCATTTGCCGTTTTAGCTACGATGAAAGATTACATTATCTGCACGGGCTGAGAAAATGTTACAAACCTTGGTGAAACATTTTAAGACCTGTTATATATGAATCCTTTACAAAGTCAATTAGACAAAGCCCTAAACAAATGCGTGGCAGTTGACATTTTGCCGGAATAAGAAACGAGGTTTCCACTCGACAACAGATGCCGATGAGCCGAGGAGAAGGATCTTAAACCATGACATTCACTCCTCGGCCTGATCACATTTTATTTCCCTTTTCAGAGGGGCCATGATTTATCCAGATTTCCAACCACAGTAGTAAAAAGTTGAGTTTAGAATCAAACTCGGATATTAAAGCTTCAGCTCGGGGGTTAAGGTCTATCTATCCATATTCGGTGAGTAGGAGCCCCCTTCGGTGTTGGGGTTAGAGATCATAAAACGTGTGAAGGAGGCGATATCCCTATAAGACACATTATGAAATGAACCCCTCGTTAAAGGGGGATTCCCGAGGTAATCGGGGAGGATAACCGCCTCCATCCTCCCCACAAAACCCAGTCCGCCTTGTTTCTGCTATTATAGAATCACTAATAAATCCTCACTCTGAGCCACGATAATATCCCATCAAACATTGCACGAGCAGGAACAGAGCTTTCGCGGGACAACTGTTTGGACTTTTTGGCCGCCGGATGATCGGAGCTGCCTGCACCCGGGCCGGCACACCGTTAAATACACTATACTGTTTGAACACTATGAATCATGGGATTCATCACTGTCATCGTAGAAGAAGAAGGGGAGCTAGAGCCCTTAATAAGTCGTTTTAGCCCTGCACTACTGTGGAAAGACAGTAAAAAAACGGAGTAAAATATGCTGTAATGTGTAAATTATGACAATTTACAGGATGCAAACCTGGAGCAAAACACACACACATGCTCACACACACACTGCTGGGAGGAACTACATAGTCAAAAGTGTTCATTTTCTCTTGCGTAAAAATGAATTAGCGGTATCACTGCAGGTGAACGTCCTATAAGGGGGGTCGTTGGAGCTCGAGGTATAATACAGACCTGGGTTTTATTTTATTTATACTTTTTTCTATTTTATGATCATAATCATGAAGCCACAACAGTCCTGTACAGACTATAACCCGTCTGCTGCCCCACTTTAACACATACAACCGATAACATAGGCAATAAACTCTCTCTCTCTCTCATACACACACAAACACAAACACACACACACACACACACACACACACACACACACACACACACACACACACACACACACACACACACACACACACACACACACAAAACAAGAAATATGGCCTCAAACAAAATAGGCTACATGTCAATCCACTGTTTTCCCTCCCCCCCTCTTTCTACCTATGTCTCTCTAACACACAACAAAATGCCTTCTTGCATAATCGCTCTTATTGTGGTGTTGGTTTAAGCCATCAATTATTACTTCAGCTTCCCTATAATGCAAATATGTTTGAGAGATGACATTCCTCCATGATTTATAATCTGATCCAATCGAGCCTGGTCCATATTCACAGGCTGTGTGTGCCACAAACACACAAAGACCACTAAGTGTGCACACACATGCACACACAGGATATTAATTCGAAGCACACAGACAATTCTTGTAGATTTTGATATTTGAATAATTGGATCAGACAGTTCTAGGTGCTTAACAATGCGAGTAAAAAACACTATTTCCCTTTTAACTTCTGAAAGCATGAAGCCCTTTTGTGTCAGAGTGGGGGTATTTACAGCCTTCAAACACCAAAGGGACAGTGCACATGCAGGACAAAAGTAAATTATGTAGTAAATAAAGGTACATCGAGAAATTACAAGAGAAGAAAAAGGCATCCATTCGAGCGGAGCCTCACATCCTCCCCACGTACACACATGCCTGGCTGCAGTCTGTGGGGACCTGGCCACCGTGTAGCCAAATAATCCCTGAGACCACAGGCAAGTCGTAAAAGCAACAAAAAAAAGGCAGTAAAAGTTTAACCCGGGTCAGAGCTGCATGTCTAAAATGAGTCTTTTCGGCTGGAAAAACCCTCCAAAACCTGTCCTCTCCCTCTGAGCAGGGCTTTCTCACGGACAGACCCACACCCTCCCCACCACCTCTGCCTGTGTTCGACCGCTTTCTCTCCGAGCCCCTCTCCCGGTTCTTTCTCCCAGTATATGGCCGGGGCAATTAAACCCTAAAGTCATTCACAATGTTGGTGCTGCCAATAAAACCATAAACGCGCTTTGGACGCAGAAAGCGTAAAGGAGCCTGCTTAAATGGCTGCTTATAAACACTTTCCCAACTTTCTTACACGGTTTCCTACTCCCTCACATGTTCTGTGCTCCCCTCCTGGAGCAGCACCACGGACACTTTTGCGGGACACGATTTGCTTTGAAAATATTTTTTAAAAGAACCATTCTGGATGTCCTCACCTTGCGGCCTCATCCAGGGGAACAGCTGCGTCGGTGACGGACTCTGCTCGGTTCCCTCCGCGTCCTCTCCGCCGAGACCCGGTGCACTTCCCAGTTTACAGTCGCTGTACTGGACCAGATCCGCGTCCTGGGCCCCGAAAAGCGTCTGCCGCTGTAGCGCGTCGTATCCGTAGAAGTTGCTCGGCTCTCCGTGGCATGTGACCGCGCAGGGACTCTGCTGGTACGGATTGCTGGGCAGTGTGGAGGCGCTGTGGTGGTAGAAGTCTTGGATCTGCGGGGCGTGCTGGAAGGTAGCGGCGGAGCCCGGTCCGTACACCACGGTGGGCCGGCTGCCCGCCAGGTCCTGCGCGAAACCGCACTCGTA